ACCACATTAACTGAAAATAATAAATTCAGCTTTGAAGAGGAAAGCCATATTTTCCTATCAGCTTTGAAACAGATGTATGTATTGGAAATACAATAAACTATAATATAATTACTTTATGAAATAAATTATTCTATAACAATATATATCATTAAAAAATAATAGATATTATAATTACTACATAAAAAAATAATTAATTTTTTATTTCAAATAAAAGCACAAAAATTAACTTACACTGTACTAAAGATTCCATTTCTATAAATCGAGCTACTTCACATAATTGCATTGCTTCTTCTATTAAGATCCTTTGTAAATGAATCTCAGGTAAATTTCCTCGTTTTGAAGCTGCCATTAAAAGTGATCCAAGATCTAATGTATCTTGATAAAGTGCTTGGATCAAAATCTGTGCATAACGACGAGGAATGATTGCTTCATCTAGAATTATTCTTGCTTGTTGCATATCATTCATATCTTTAGATCTCTGTCTTCGGCGAATCACATTTCGAAAAAATGAAGATCGAGCTGATAAAATTGCTCTGTGACACCAAAATTCTGCTTCCCTAACACATATTTTACAAGATTTATCAGTATTATCTAAGCTGGAATGATCACATAAATATGATGTTGCACCACAGTTAAAGCTCACCATTTCTGATGTAAATGCAATTGAAACATCACTATAAATCCCTGTTTCAAGAAGATACCTTAAATCTTCTTCTAAAGGATTAGGTATACCAAATTGCTCACTTAACTGAAAAAGAACACTCAAATTTCCTTCATATGTTGGAGCAACAGATAATTCACCTGTGTAAAGATACCTCAAAAGTTCATTGAACATTTCAACACTTACTCCTGCAATGTCAATATCAACAGCTACTTCTGTACATATTGAAGATAAACTATTGAGCAGCTCACGAAAAAATGGGCACCTTGCAGCTAAAATTGCACGATGAACTGCAAAAACTGTTCCTTGGTAAATAAGATTAATATCAGAGCAATATTTGTACTGGAATAACTCTCCAAGGTCCTGTTTGCAACTATTTGTTATTGGTCTTGCAATTTCAGCCTGATTAGAAAGTTCTTTCAATGATGCTGTTGCTTCATATTCTTCTACAAGAGCAATTATATCTCGTGGAGGCCAACTGCTCAGAAATTCTCTAAATATTTGTCCATGATCATAACTTTTACTTGTTCTTCTTCTTCTCGTGAGTCTTTTGCGAAGTGTTGATAAAGTTGTTCCTTTTCTTTTCTTCTCTTTACTAAATTGGTCCATTGAAGTTGAAGAAAATATACCACAAGCATTCTGAGTTTGGGAAGCTTGATTATATGTATCTTGTTCAGATTGCTGAACAGAAATGGTTGATGGGAAAGATGATGTACTAACCCCCATCGCATAATATAAATTATCACTTGCTAGGTATGTATCCATCCATGAGTACTTCTTAATATCTGTTCCCCATAGTGAATCTCTTGATTTATAAAAATTTACTATAAGACAATTCAAAATCGTCATTCACCTATAAAAAAAATAAATTACATTTAAGAACAACATTATAACAACTGATACAAAATGTTTTTTTAAAACAGAAAATTTAAAATCATTCAATCCTTTCAAATTCCACAACCATTTTCAGAAAATACTTCAGTAATTTTTCAGTTTTTACCTTGGAAAAGCATTTTGTATCAAAGCTTTTCAGGAAAAATTATATATTTATAATTATTATAATTAAATAACATATTATACATTTAAACAATAATTTAAGAATATATATAATAATTAAAACTCTAGAACCAGTTTTCAATTAAATAAATTTGAAATTTTTATTAGAAAAAAAAAATGTCTGTTCACAAAATGAAAACAAAAGAAAAACATTTCAAAAAATTAAATACATTACAGGTTTTAAATAAGATTTATAATAAATTAATCTTCTACAAAACTAATCATAATTTTAGGTGTGAAATGAATAAAACTTGGAAAAAATAATCTTTTTTTTCCAAAATTAGAAATTGAATAACGAACATTTACAAACTTAAAATAAAATGAACCCTAATTAACTTTTGACATTGACAAGTGAAAACTGTCATCTGCATAGCCATAATCCAGGTCAAAATATTTTGACATGGAAACTGACAATACATGGGAGTGAATGAAAATAAACACATGAGCAATAAAATAATAGTGTGGAATCTGGTTTCCTGATTATCCTCCATTTCTGAATGAAACACATGAACTGACCCAATCTTTTGCTTTAACTGGGATGTCAAGCATTTGTATGATGCTCAAAGGGCATCATATAAATGCTTGACATCCCCAGTTAGAGCAAATGTCTTTTTCTCATTAGACCAAATGTCTTTATTTCTCCTTAGCAGGTGCCCTTGTGCCATTTTTTTTTTTTTGTTTTTGAACAAATGAATAACGTAAAATGTTTCTTTATTAATAGATTATACACTCAAAGATTATATATTTTGTTAGTAAAAGTAACAATTTATTTTATAGATAGTAATTACCCACTACAAGACCCTGGGTTTTCTCCAGGATCATGGAAAAATCCCCAGCATGCTTCACTGGACAGTTTTCTGTCTCAACTTCTACATGATAAATATCTATTTGTATGTGCTGGCACAGAATTCTGTACCTAAATTTTACATGTAATAATATCCATCTATATGCTCAGAATTTGAAAGAAAATTATTTCACTATTGTAGAATTAAGTGATGTGCAGTTCAAGATCAATGCTGTATTTGCTCAATAGGTTTGTCAGCATTTAATCTAGATCTAAAGGAATACAAATTATTTATTGTTCCATGTTTCTTGAATTATGTATGCAAGAAAGACTTCTTAGAATATTATTGTTAATGGAACTACATCATGGATATACTATACATATTACAAACTGGAACAGAGAGATGAAAATTCAGATTAGCATCATAAAAATTCATTTCAATTAAAATTCTTAACCAAGAAACACTCAAATGCTTTTCTATATATTCCAAGGTCATAGTTCTGAATATTAAATCAAGATAAAAATATTGATAAATGGCAAATTTAACAATAAACTTCTGAACTGTTTAAAACTAGTAATTTGAAAAAAGTTTTTTTTTTTATATATGTATTAACTGGGGAAATTCACCAAAATGCAGGAATCTTGTGTTTTAAAAGTGAAGTTGAAATGTAGATTATATTAGCAAGGTTGCTGCCGATGTTTTCAACACAAAAATGTGACAAATAGTCCCAAGTGAAAAGGACAGCTGATTGATCGAACTATTTAGAAGTATTCTGGAAGAATTAGAATTACATTTTCGTATTAGAAGAATACAAAAATGTGTACGTCAGACATTTAGTACCACCATCCTGTAAACTTAGAAGTTTGACAACGGCATTTGGAATGTTGAGCATGATTCCACTGATGTTGCAAACGCCATTATCAAACTGAGGTATTACTATACTTGAAGTTCCTTGCATGCCTTAATATATAGGATAGCCATCAGTCAAAAAGGAAAAAAAAAATGGAATCATACTTTATTCCTTCTGGATAAATAACTCCTAGGGCTTTTCAAATAAATGTGCTATTGTCTTGTTCAAGCCAACAACTACCTGATTATATAGGGCTATTATATCGCAATTATTTTAAATTAATTACTAAATAATTTGTCACTAGAGGGAGGCATTAGGAGCCATCTCTTGTTAGATTTAATAATTATAATTAAATTAAATAATTTAGAAAATTCTGGAAGAAAAGAATTGGCCCAGAGCGGGACTCAAACCCACAACTGCAGCTTACTGTGAGGATACATTGCCAGTTATGCTACCTGAGCCTCCAGTCTGATCTCCTCTTCCAGATATATTTAAACAAGAGATAACCATCCTCAGTTACATGAATGCAAACACTGGATGCATCCCCAACCATATGTAACCAAAGATGGTTACCTCTTGTTTACACATATCTGGAAGAGGAGATCAGACTGGAGGCTCAGGTAGCATAACTGGCAACACATCTACTCAGTAAACAGCAGTTGTGGGTTTGAGTCCCACTCTGGGCTGATTCTTTTCTTCCAGAATTTTCTAAATTATTTAATTTAATTATAATTATTAAATCTAACAAGAGATGGCACCTAATGCCTCCCTCTAGTGACAAATTATTTAGTAATTAATTTAAAATAATTGCAATGTAATCCAATAGTTGTTGGCTCTTTATATGTATTATTGTTATATTTGTTGGTTTATGTATATTGTCTCGTGATTGATTACTTCCAAAATTCTGTAACATAGAAGAAAAATCATACCAGGCACTTCTTTTTCCAGTATTCCTATACACAGGTTGGAATGTCAAGTCTCAATTTTCATCAACAAATATCCATATGTATTTGCCAGTCATAGCTACTCTTATCCAACTTAATGTATCTTCAAAGCATTTTGATTTCCTAATTGTTGATTTGTCAGGTATGTTTTCTTGAACGTATTTCTCCAGAAATTGATAGAATGCGTGATTATTCAGTTTGTAAAAAGGAACGTTAAAAGCATTTGCTAAGTCCAAGATATATTGGGATAGCTATGGTTAATTAATTCTCTTCAATGAGAAGGGGATTTTGCTTGCAGGATTTATTCAGAGCTGCTTTATGCAACAATGTGTCAATATATTGTAGGATGTGAAACTTCCTTTCTGTATTTATAGCCTTCCCACATAGACATAACAAAACAATGCCATCAGTGCTAAAAGTTTGATCTTCAAATTCAGCAAAAAACTTCTTAATAGAACATTCGTGGATGCCTTTACTTTTCCCATTGTTACCAGTTGCAGTCAAAATCAAACATATCATTTAAAAAAAATTAATTACAAAAATTCTATTGAATATAAAGTGAAGAAATTCAGTCAGCTGATAGAAAATGATCAGCAGAAGGATAATCTATTATAATTTGCATGCTAACACATCAAAGTGTAGTATGGGAAGGGTTTACTTGCACAGTCTTGAGCATTTTTGATAAAAGAGGGTATCAGTGTCTGGCAAGTGCTTGAATTTTATGGGATAAAATTTCAGTAGAATTAAGCTGATAATTTTTAGACATATTTTCAGAGTAAAGTTTCATTTACTCCAAAGCCAAGCCTAAATATGCATTTTACATATGCTTCTATGTAAATACATAAAATTCTAGTTATTAACCAGTTGTTAACTTTATAGTAGTAACCTAACTTAATTGAAGACTACTTATATAATTCATTTTTCAATATTTTACTACTACTTTAAACTATAAATATATAATAAAATAAATATTCATATATTTAATTGGTAGATACAAAGCAAAAATAAAACAGGCTGTATAAAAACTAAAATTTAAAAAAAATTGGAATTTTATAAGATATTTTTAAAAATACTTGATTAGTTAACAATTAATTGTATGATTCAATGATTATACAGTCCTAATTAATCATTTATCCTTAATCAGCTAACTTAATAATCAGCCCATCCTTATAATTTGATCTATTTTTAGAAATACAATACTACAAACAGTTTATAGTTAAAGACAGTCTTATTCAGTTTTTAAATATTGCTTTGAATATTAAATATGAACAATTAATGGATTAATTTATTGGAGAACATTAACATTTCTTGAAATTAAAATAAAATTAAGTTTTTTTGTTTTTTGTACATTTAAATATTACTGCTTGACTTTTTAAGTATAACACTATATTTTAATTAAATTATTTTACAAAATTTGAATTAGAAATAAGAATTTCTATCACTTAAATACCTTAATAATTAAAATTATGATAGTTATGCAATGATAACACCATCTATTTCAGTTCAAATTTTGTAAATACAGTAAACTCTTCTTACTGTAATCACAGATATTGTTAACAGTTCTTTAATGTTATCAAAATAACAGGTCCAAAACATATATATTAAATCACAATTATAAAACTTTGCTTATTGTAATTAGAGTTCAGTTATTGTTAGCATCATATTTAAATATATAGGCATTTTAAACTCTATTTTCATATTATAAGCTTCAACTTGTAATAATGTGTACAGTCAACCCCCCCATAACACTGTTGATTATTCCGTTTTATATGAATTCCACGTTGTACGAGTCACTTAGATTCTACAAATATGTGAGCCGTTCACAGCCCGGCACACATATGTAGAATCTAAGTGATTCGTACAACATGGAATTCATATAAAACGGAATAATCAACAGTGTTATAGGGGGTCGACTAATTATTATCAGTCTTAACCAGGATCATGTTCATTAACACAGAATGCTAAGAAATCTAATGGTTATGAGGATGAAATAAATAATTATTATGAGTATCTTTGAATAGCATCAAGTTGGTGAGTCAGTCTAGTTGTTTTTAAAATAATGGAAGAAGTAAAAATGATTCATTTATTCATTATGATCATAATTTTATCATCATCATTAAAAAAATATACTGTATATTTATACTAGCACATATTGCTCTCTTTATAGTAATAGTGCAACAGAAATGATAATGTCAATCTTAACATATAAAAACTATTC